TTGATTTCTCATAACTTTCCTCCCGTTCCACAACTGAATTGATTAACTGTTTGTCCATTAGATTAATGATTGAATCGGCGATTATCCGGGCGTTTGACAACTGATATCCACCGCTAGTTTTATTAGTAATATAATTATTAATTACATAAAAATTCAAACAACTCATTAATATAAACCTGGTCAACATAACAATAGGAATTTCGTTGTGTTTAGCCATTTGAAAGACAATGACATCCCTTTCCAGTACCCCATNGCTAGTTTTATTAGTAATATAATTATTAATTACATAAAAATTCAAACAACTCATTAATATAAACCTGGTCAACATAACAATAGGAATTTCGTTGTGTTTAGCCATTTGAAAGACAATGACATCCCTTTCCAGTACCCCATCCCTGGATATGTTGAGTCCACCCAATGGGTCACCGCTTAGTATATCTGTTCCCGCGTTATATATAACCAGATTTGGGGTAAACTCTTGAAACGCTTTCACTATATTTCTAATTATAATATAAAATCTATACTTAACTTTAAACAACATTTTATCATAATTTACTTATTTAATAGTTTTAGGTATTCCTCATCACTCGTGTTGGGTAGGAGTTCCACACCTCTATTGATGAAACCCTTTGCCACCCCATCCCTCGGATAAATATATTTGTTATATACGTCTAAAACGTATACTTTTTCTCTCAGTCTTTGCGGGAATAGAAATAAATCCGTTTCATAGCCGTTGCCTATCATAACAAAAATATTAGCTAGGTCATCAAATTAACTAATACTAATTAGCATACCTTGATGAGCATCCAGGTCAATGATCATAAACTTGAGGCTATCGTCCAAATGTTGCCACAAATACTGCATAATAAGGGATATGTCGGCGAAAACACAGAATCCCTGAGCGCTCTGACGGGACGAGTGATGGAGACCTCCGCCGAGGTTTACGGCCCACCCGTACGTCAGCGCCATATATGCCGACAAAACACTGCCCGATGTCTGCCATTTGAATGGCGTGATTAGGGCTGACCTTAATATAAAACTTGGCACGACCCTGATCATGTATATTTCCAGTGCATCGGCTATAGTCCCCGAGTTATAGTGAATGTCCTGGATAAATTGCTTGGTATGTATTAACTCGAGTTCATTGGTATTTATCTCCCGGAGCGGCGATACTGTCGTAAAAGGTGTGCCCTTTTCCTGTTGTTAATGTAATTATATATTTTTTTGTGTAAATTATCAAGGTATAACATGTTACATGATATACAGGGTGTTTCATAAATACCTCAAAATGTGTGTTCAAAAAGTGGTATATTTTAGTCCACTTTTGTGCGTCAAAATGATGCAGTCTTTCCAACCTATAGAAACTAATGCCATAATTATTGTTATAAACAATTGGATACAAGTTTTCATTTTTAACATCAGGTGAGCCACTAATCCGAAAGTATTTGAATAGATGACCACTTTTGATACCATCACTTACGCCAACATTTGGTCTAATAATTCAAATAATTATATTACTTTTGAAACACGCATAACATTTTCATTTACCTTATAATTGATTTATTTTTGCCCATTTGTAAATAGTTGTATATAAAGTATCCGGCTATACAAGAGCCACTAACGCTAGCTCCTAATAAGGCATATTTTAATTTACCAGTCATTTGTTTACTATTATTAATAATAACTTATTATAATTACAACGTCGTGTTGTTATTTGATTTTTACTATTTTTATGCACATTTCAAGGCTATTTGATAGACATCTATTACAAAGCATAGTAAGACTGTTATTGCAAATAATTAATTTGAACTGGACTATGGTAACATTTCAGTTAGATTCCTTATCATGTAATTTCCGTGAGTAATTCTCCCATATTATACAACGAGGCAATATTATTTAAATAATAAATTAATAATCATTCGTAACAATTAGCCCCCATTGTTGCTACTCTAATCATAATAAAACATATTTGTTAGTTTTTGACAAATATATATTTATTAGAATATGAGAAATGACTATGAAAATATAATTTACATAACTAGTTTTAAATATATTTATATATATATATATTAAAAATAAAATCTGTTTACAATGATTTTAATATGAATAATGATTTTATTATGGTTATAGGGAGGTTTAGTTATTAGCATTATTATGTAAAGCATAAACAATAATTTTTTAAATAAACAATTTTTAAAGGCTTTTAATAATAATTAATTTTATGTTATATAAAATATTGTGAAATACAGGTGATTCAACTTATTAATTAATATAATAATAATAATAAATATTTTGTATTATTATTATTATCATTGAAGTTTATAAAAGATCTTGGACAATTTTATATATAGTAAACCAATCGAACAGATAATCTATGAATTAAATAAAACAAATATAATCTTGTAATTAACATAATAATAAATGAGCAAGCTCATACTTTAAATCCCTGGAAGCTATTAATACGGAATAATTTCCAACAATAAAAACCATCCCTTTGTTGACCTAACCTTTCCATCAGTGATACTAACTATCCGTTTAAATGTAAAATACAATAAAAATATTTTATTATTTTTAAAAAATATCTCAATTTTTTACCTTTGATTTAGTTTTAAAAGAAATTCTGAATTTTGTTATTAATAAATAAAATAATTTATAAGTTTTCATATTGTGTTGATTAAGTAGGGATGTAAAAAGTATGACAAATAATAGCAAGGAAAAATATTGAATGCAAAATATACCTGCCGTAATTTTTATAAAAGGTAAAATATGATCAAATAATACCACATATAATAATAATGAAATAATTAAACAGATTAGTGTCCAATATATTGCTAAAAACTTTGACCAATAAATCCTATTATATTCATTAATTTCATTTAATATATAATTTGTTTGATAAATATTTTTAGGCAACAAATTGCTTGGTAAGTTTTCATTTTTGTAAAATTGTAAAACCACAATCACTGATTGGATTTTAAGTTTTAGATAAAGTACAATTATTGAATAGTTAATAATTTGCATGATTATTTGATAGATAATATAATAACCAGCAAGTGACCATATAATACTATGCGGAATGGCCATAAATATAATTTGATACAAGGACAAATTTATCGCATACATAGTAAATATTGTTAGGAATATAATATATTTAATAATATTGACAATAGATTCCGCAATACTTATTAACCTACGGCTAAATTGTAGCAATTTATAGACAACTAGTTTGTCGTGAATCCCAATACTAATGGGTGTTATTAAACCCGATAGCATTGAAAACACCCGCAAATCAGTCCCTTTTATACCTCGGGTATAGTTATAGTAATTTATTAATTGCGATAAAAATGCAATACTCGATACAAGTATAGCTAATATTGCGATTTCAATCCTTAAGCCCATAAAGTAAGTTAAATCGCCAACAATGGCATAAAAGTTTGCATTTTGTTCAGGAATTATAATAAATATTATTAATCGTAAAATACTGATCAGGATAATTATGGTCACAAAATATGGATTATTTATGTTTCGTCTCTTTCCAGCATTCAGTGGCTTATAAAAGGATAATCCATTCATATAGAGATGGGTACCGGCCCTCTGGATGGACATGGATGTTGGTATCAGTTTATTTACATTTATATTATTGTTATTTCGTACTTTCATAATAATAAATGTCCAAGCAAGATTAATATATTATGCAATAATTAATGTTAATATATAAATATTTTTAAAATAATGAATAAATTCTTTGTATTACAATTAAAGTATTGTATAAACAATATTTAAATATTTTATGCTGAAAATTTATAACTTATAATGTTATATAAAATTATGATTACTTTAATAACTGAATAGATATAGCAAATAATAAATAATTGAATAATATTTACTGTATTCAAATATGATTAATGTATATTTTTTGTGCTATTTTTCACAAACTTTATTTTTTAAGACATTTTGACATTTAACGACAATCGTATTAATGACTATTTTTTAAAAATAAATATAATTTTATTTTTGATATTTTATTGTGGAAAAAATATCATCACAATATAAATTGTACAATAGTTTAATCTTTATTAGCATAATTATATATGGCATTATAATTATTATTATGACCATTATTGATTAAACTAGATCGTTATCTTTAGCAAAACTTTTTATTTGCAATATATATTATATTATATTTATATTATATTATATTAATAATATATAGCAAAGAATTTTGATAGTTTAATATATAGTAATCCAATAGCAAATATTATCTATAAATTAATTTAAATTTTTTAATAATTTTAATATAATTCTTATTAATGAGCAAGCACATACTTTAAGTCCATGGAAACGGTTAATACGGAATAATTTCCAACAATAAAATCCATCCCTTTTCTGACTCAACCTTTCCATCAGTGATACTAACTATCGGTTAAAAAATATAAAATATTAAAACAATTAAAAATTGTTCACAAGCCTAATAAATACCTTGATTTTAATCTTAAGGTCACGTTTTAATTCAATAGACATTGTATTTAATATTTTATATGATTTCATATTTTGTTGTTTTGGTAGGGATGAAAAGTGTATAATAAATAGTAGTGACAAAAATAATCTAGAAATAAAAAGTTGATTAGTATTTACAATGCTTAAAATATTTAATTTATTTTTAGAAACATTATCATAATTATTTTTTAAAAATGAATACTGTATGTTTTACATATTTTCCTTTAATTTATTGAGTTTATACTTTTTATAACAAACCCATATCAATATTGAGTATTATTTATAATCATATAAATTTACATGTAAATCATTATTAATTACATATTACTTATGATTAAGAATATAGAATTCTAGTAAAGAATTTTGATAATTTAATATATAGTAAACCAATGGCACATATTATCTATAAATTAATTAGAATTATAACTTTATTATAATTTATATAATGCTTATTAATGAGCAAGCACATACTTTAAATCCCTGAAATCGGTTAATACGGAATAATTTCCAACAATAAAATCCATCCCTTTGTTGACCCAACCTTTCCATCAGTGATACTAACTATTGGTTTAAGAATATTAAATATTAATACAATTAAAAATTTGTAACAAGTTAAATACCTTGATTTTAATCATAATGGGATGTTTTAATTCAGTAAACATTGTATTTAATATTTTATATGATTTCATATTTTGTTGATTTAGTAGCGATGAAAAGTGTATAATAAATAGTAACGATAGAAATAATTCAATGCTAACCATAAGTGCTGTTAGTCTTATAATAAGTAAAATGTTATCAAATATTGCGCTATAAAGTAATAATGCAATTATGAGACTAATTATTATCCAATATATAGCCAAATATATTGACCAATAATTTCTATTATACTCGTTAATCTCAATAAATATTGTGTTTAAATCAATAATATTTTTATAAGTACTATTATTATTAAAAATAATCATATCTTTGTTAACTGATTGAATTTTCAAGTATAAATAATAAGAAATTATTAAATAATAGATAATTTGAAATATAATAACAGAATTACAAAATACAAATAAAAATGTCCAAATAATAGCATGTGGAATGGCTATAAACACAATTTGATACCCTGATAATTTTATCGAAAATATTATAACCATGAACATAAACATTAAATAATTGATGAGTTTTATTAACAGCTCCGTATTAGTAATAGATTTGCGGCTAAATGTAAGAAATTTATAAACAACTCGTTTGTCGTGAATCCCAATACTGAAGGGTGTTATTAAACCCGAAAGCATATGAAATATACGCAAATCAATAGGATTTATGCCATGAATATAGTTATAATAGTTAACTATTTGTGATAGAAATGCGAGACTCAATGCAAGTATTAAAAGAAATGATACTTCAAAGCGTATGCCAACAAAGTAAGCAAGATCACCTACAATGGCATAAAAATCTTGATTTTGTTCCGGAATTATAATTAATATTATTTGTCGTAATAATGCCATCAATACGGATATCATTAGAAAATATGGATTATTAATAATATTTCTCTTTCCAGCGTTTGATGGCTTATAAAAGGTTAGACCAATACTATATAGGTGCGTACCTGCCCTTGGGATGACCAGGGATGTTGGCAGACGCTTATACACATTGATAGAGTTACTAGATGGATTTATTTTCATTATTATATTTAACGATGGCTTAAAAATGTATTATAAATATAATTCTATGAAACTGTATATTCTATTGCATGGCAATAACTTTAAGGATAATTTATTTTGTTTTTAATACCATAATATCATATACCATTAAAAATTATCAAATGATCATGACTATTTGTGTCATTTAAAGTAATTAATGACTTGTTAATGATTGTATTTTGAAATATAATTTGAATTGCAAAAATATATTATGAAAAGTATGATATTTCACAATTTATAATTCTCAATAAATCTAAAATATTGTCTATATCTAATTATATTAAAAAATTAATCTTAAAAAATCTTAAATATTAAGTCCATGTTCATAAATTTATTTAAATACAATTTCACATGAATATATTACTAATATTACTATTATACTTTTCGTTTCGACGCCATTTTTATACAATACAATACAATAT